TAAATGTAGCCTGTACTTATTACAGAGACTGTGTTTTATCTCAGAGTGAAGAGATTAATATTTATCAGGAAACATCTAATCAACAAGATGGTGGCGAGTTGTTAAATAGTCACAAGCATCCTGTCTTGAATCAAATTCCACAGTTAGAAAGGGGGTTTATGAATAATGACAGAGAAAAGCCATCTAGGACAGTGGACGTACCTCAGTTGGAAAGAAGGTCTATAAATATTGACAATGTAGAGCTATCAGAGACAGTGAGGTATAAATTAGTTAATAAAGAAATCATCTCTACAAGTGATCATTCAGAAAGAAGATTTGTGAATATTAACTGTCATAATGAATTGAAAATAATGTCAGAAAGTTGTCAATCAAGTCCTAAAGAAATTATTTCTAACAACACGAGTTCAGAGAGAAGGTTCCTGGATATCATTGAGGACAAGAAATGGAGGACAACGTCAGAACAACGTAAATTATTCCAATCAAAAAGAAAGTTCCTGAATATTGAAGGCAAAAAAGAATCACAAAAAGGTAAATTACTTTGTATAGAAAAAACAGTTTTAACTAACTCTAAACAAGTCTGTGTCAGTAGAAATGAATGTAATATTGTTAATCAAGACAAGTCAGTTTTAACTAACAGTCTGTTGTCTGCAGATAACGTGGGAACCTCTGATGAAGACCAAGATGATTTTGGATGTGATCACACTGACTGTCCGAGTCAGAGAGACCCCAGTCTGCAGGGTCAACTCTCACCAACTATCATAGAAACACCTCTAGATTATTGTCTTAGTTATCAAACATTACTTCACAAATTACAACAACTTTCTTGACATAGAGTAAATAAACATTATTAGCTATGTGGACTCTCTGAAACAATATTAGCTATGTGGACTCTCTGAAACAATATTAGCTATGTGGACTCTCTGAAACAATATTAGCTATGTGGACTCTCTGAAACAATATTAGCTATGTGGACTCTCTGAAAGGGATGTCAAGTTAACAAACATAAATACCAAATAAACATTATTAATTATGTGGACTCTCTGAAAGAGATGTCGAGTTGACAAACCTAAATACCAAATAAACATTATTAGCTATGTGAACTCTCTGAAAGAGATGCCAAGTTGACAAACCTAAATACCAAATAAACATTATTAGCTATGTGGACTCTCTGAAAGAGATGCCAAGTTGACAAACCTAAATACCAAATAAACATTATTAGCTATGTGTACTCTCTGAAAGAGATACTGAGTTGACAAACCTAAATACCAAATAAACATTATTAGCTATGTGGACTCTCTGAAAGAGATGTCGAGTTGACAAACCTAAATACCAAATAAACATTATTAGCTATGTGGACTCTCTGAAAGAGATGCCAAGTTGACAAACCTAAATACCAAATAAACATTATTAGCTATGTGGACTCTCTGAAAGAGATGTCAAGTTGACAAACCTTAATACCAAATAAACATTATTAGCTATGTGGACTCTCTGAAAGAGATGCTGAGTTGACAAACCTAAATATCAAATAAACATTATTAGTTATGTGGACTCTCTGAAAGAGATGCTGAGTTGACAAACCTAAATATCAAATAAACATTATTAGCTATGTGGACTCTCTGAAAGTGATGCCGAGGTAACAGCTGTAGTTTGAGAGAGGCATCAAGTGTTCTGTGTTTTCCCCTACACCTCATTATTTATTATAATGGAGCTCAAACCCAATTTTGAAGTTATTAAGTTGAATAATAACCTAGAGACAGTCTTGTTCACCAGCCATTGACCTTTAGGGGTGTAATAAATAAACCAAATAAACAGTAAACTTTGTGATAAAAATCTGTACAAGCAAGACAAAATCTTGTTGACATAATGGCAAATTCAGGAGTAAAAGTTGTATAGTATTGGACTCCTCCAAAGAGAAGTACCATCAGGTGTTTTGAAAAGAGTAGCCATGGTCTGTATAAAATAAACCAGAGAAATACATTTAAAACTATTTTAAACCAGTTATAACTGATATTTTATTATTGTTAATTTTATTTTTACACTTTTTACGGTCATTAACTGTTTTCTAAATTTATGTGTATCTGTGACACTGATAGCATCAACTTACATCATTCCAATTTTCAATCAGATGTTTGGTTTTGACATGTGAATAAAGTAGATCGATTAGTTTGTAGTTTGTGAAGAGATATACCACCATAATTATTGATATATCTCTTCACAAACTAGTAACTATTTGATATACTCAAAACTTCAGTGAGATCAAAATGGATGGAAATTAATGGAGTTTTACTTTCTACTATTCTATCCCACTGATGGAAAATGTTGGTTTAACAGAGTTGCCACTTTAAAGACTACCCAAACAGACTTATAACCCTAGAGGCTTATGCTTGAAAACTTAATGAAGATAAAATCAAGATTTGAAGAAATACAGTAATCTGGATAATAAAACTTAATTTAAAATCAATTTTAGTGATAGACCAATCATCTTAAGTTAAGTTGTCAAGAATAAGGACCCTAGTCATTTATTGTTTATCTCTTGTAAAAATGGAAATCAATATTT